CCTGGATGATTCGCATCACCCCGCCCATGGAAAAGAGCCCTGAGAGTGAGGGATGAGGGAGGCAGCTCCCCCTGTGCTGTCCCCTGTCCGGGGTCCAGGCTGTGTCCCTGCAGGTGGCACCGGCCACCAGGGCAGCCCGGGGAGCCTGGAATCTCCTGGGATCACCTCCCTAGAAGGTGATCCCTGTGGAAAAGACCTTTCGGGATGAAAACATCCCTTGAACCGTGAATCATCCTGTGCTGCTGGTGCAGGGACAGCACCCGGCCTGCAGGGCCACACAAGGGTGTGTCACCCCAGAGCCATCCAGGGGCCACTCAAGGGCCATCCCAGGCTGCCACCAGCACTTTGGATCATAAAAGATACCCCCAGACCTCAATCCAGGCTGCCAGGACTGGATTTTCCCCCTCACCCTCCAGCCTGTGCTTGCAGCGGGGATTCACAGCCTCAGGCACTGAATCCGCAGGGGTCTCATTTTGCTGCTTTGGATTCTTTGGAGACAGCCAGGAAGGACCTGGGCCACCCCAGAGGGCAGCAGAAACTCCCTGGAATATCGATCAGGGCATTCCCTTCCATGCCACATTCCCTGTCTGTTGGGATGCACAGTAAAAAAACCCATGACATGAATAAACTGGGATTCAGAGCATGGAGTGCCATCCCTGCCCCACCAAAAACTCCAGGSAGGCACAGACTCAGAGCCACCAAAGCTGGAAAATCCCCCAGGATCACCAACCCTGGCGAGGACACCCAGGCTCAACCATCCCCCAGGGATGCTTTGGGGACAGCCAGGAAGGACCTGGGCTCAGAGACTCTGGAATACCAACCAAGGTGCTCCCTTCCCATTCACACATTCCCTGTTTGTTGGGATGCACAATTAACAAAAATTTGGACATGGATAAACTGGGATGGCAGAGCACAGAGCCCCATTCCTGCCCCACCAAAAACTCCAGGGAGGCACAGACTCAGACCCACCAAAGCTGGAAAATCCCCCAAGATCACCAACCCCAGTGAGGGCACCCAGGCTCAACCATCCCCCAGGGATGCTTTGGGGACAGCCAGGAAGGACCTGGGCTCAGAGACTCTGGAATACCAACCAAGGTGTTCCCTTCCACACCACAGATTCCCTATTTGTTGAGATGCACAATTAACAAAAATTGGGACATGAATAAACGGGGATGCACTGAGCCACCAAAACTCCAGGCAGGCACAGATTCAGAGCCACCAAAGCTGGAAAATTCCCCAGGATCACCAACCCCAGGGATGCAGATCACCCATCCCACAGGGATGCAGCTCCCACACTCACAGGAACCCCTGGAAGGGGCTGGGTGAACAGAAATGCTCCCCAATTCTGGGCAGGATGCTCTGCAGGGCAGGGGCGGGGGGGTCCTGCCCCTCTCTCAGCAGGGTCACAAAGGGAAGGGTTTTACCTTCTTCGGCTTCCAGATCCACCAGTGAAGATACCAACACGCCCAGCTCCTGACATTTTTT